GGGGTAATCAGATCACCTGCTAAAACACTCCAGTAATGAGAAGGACTAACTGAACCTCTGTGTTTTTTCTGTTCTCCATGACAGGCAAGGGACCTTTGAAGGAACACTATAAAGCAATAATTAATAAAAAGAACTTCAAACATGTAAAAATATGCACCCCATGGCTTGAGCCAGAAGACTACCCACGGCTGTTAGGTGAGTGCTTGCCATAGTGACTACTGTAGAACCCCTCCCACGTGGACAGGGGCTTTTGTTTGTGCTGTTTAGATGTTAAATTCTAATAGAGAATGTAAATTAAAATATACCTATATATATATGTCACAGGGTTATATAAAAGTTTTTCTTCATTGTGTTGATCATATCCTCCTCAAATATTGAAATCATTTCATACTAACAGCTGACAAACTTTGAATGTTACAACTTACTTAAAGGTTCAGCTGACCTTGGTGTGTGTCTGCACAAGTCATCATCAGGTTTAGACTTGCCTATGAAGGTGAGCCAGTTCAATATTCTTCCTTGTTTCTTTGCAGCCATACCTACAAATTTTTTTTGTAAATCACTTATTTGTGTATTGTCTATTGCTAGGTTGTAGACATGTTTGGTTGTGGCTTGCCAGTGTGTGCTATACAGTTTGAGTGGTAAGTAATGAACGAATTAAGACGTCTCAGGGCTCGACACTAACTTTTCAACTTACTAGCCAAGTGGCTAATAACATTTTAGATGTTTTTAGATGTTATGACAATTTCAGTCTGTTTACTAGTGAAACTGGCTAGTGGAAATTGAAAACCACTAGCCAAAACTGAATTTCTACTAGTCTGTGGCTAGTGGGCTACCGTTAGTGTCAAGCCCTGCATCTGATTGATTCCTGGGCACCTAATCATTTGATGAACCACTCTGTTAGTTTATCAAGCAAGCAATCTTAACTCTGTGTTTTGATGAAGGATAAAAAGACAAAAACTGATGACCCATATGTATGCCAAATGTGGTATATTGGGGTAAAAAAATTGGCATGTAATTTATTCCTAGGTGGTAAAAGTGAACAGCTCCCCTCCACTGACTGTTAGCCAGTAAACTGTTGCCTGACGCTTATTGCCGCATTATTGACAGGCTATCAACAGGATACCAGCAAAACCGTTTGTTTTCTGAAATTTGCTACATGCTGCCGCAATGATTAAAAAATAAACAAAGAGCCAGGCCGTAATGCCTACTACTCTAACATCTAATGTGACCATAGTAAGATAACCCGGCAATTTTCGCGTTCATTTCAGCTTGCATGAGTTGGTCAAACATGAGGAAAATGGCCTGATATTCCGCGACAGTATGGAGCTGACTCAACAATTAAAGGTAAGCTTTAAAAAATAGGCTTAGTTTAATTTAATCAGAACCTCTATTCTTGCTACGTGGCCCATTTATCTCCGAAAAAATAACTATTTTGATGTTCCCTTTTCTATTCAAATAAGATGATTGAAAGAAACTGTTTTTCAGAACGTAGAGAACGTTTCTATTCCACTTACGTTTGCTGGTTTCCTACACTCAGATACCAGGGACATATCACTTATGAGAAAACTTCCAGGACACACAAAATCGAGGAAGCGCGTTCTTGAAATAACAAAGAGAAGAGAAGAAAACTGTCATATGATTGTGTTTCTATTGTTTTGTTTTTGTTTTTTTTATTTCAGAAACTGTTTCGAGGCTTTCCCTCGAGCAAGCCATTACTCACTAGTTACAGAGAGAACTTAGCCAGTTTCCAAAGAACGAGATGGGATGCGAGTTGGAATAAAATTGTTCTGCCATTGCTAAAAGAGAGATGATACATTTCAAAATGTTCCTTGAAATTCACCACAACGCCAATTTATGATGAAATACAACGCCTTGGAAGTCAACCTCTTGTGTGCTTTTCTTGGTTGAGAAATGTTCGACTATTTTTTTTAAGACCAGTAGATATCCAAATGGGTTATTTAGATGAAGTCTGATATCAAGAGGACAGTAACTAATGACCATTAAAACTGTCTTTTTCACAACAAACTAAATGACTAACAGCTGACGAAACTGACAAACAGTCGTCAGTGATCAGTAAATGGAAAAGAAATTCGGAGGCCATTGCGCCTTTGAGCTGTTTGTTTCAGATTAAACCCAACTCTAATTTCTCCGATACACAGTTTCGATGAAACGTAGAAGACTCCTACTTAGCTTCATTTGCGCAAAAATTACGCTGACACATCAGAAAAATTTTCCGTCATTGCTGTGTCTTTTGGTTTTATATATCATATAATTCAAACAGTCATCCTCCCAAACAACTTGGCCTCCCAGAGTCAGTGTTTCCAGCAGTTAAAGCAAACCGTCTCGTTCGTCAAACAGAAGCATTCAATTACACTGTTAGGAAAGAATCCTCAGGAGTTGATCACGGGCGGATCCAGGTTGTTTTGAGGAGGGGGTGCACCATTAAAGAATAGCGTAACCGACTGGTGACCGGACGTAAACAAATTGTAATAGCGAATACGAAGAAGGCTTTTGCCTAGGCAGTAACATAATATGAACTGTTGAGAATACATATCAAACGATACGGTAGAATACCACTTGTTTATCAATTTTCTTGTGCAGGATGTAATTCCCGTTATATTGGCGAAACTAGTCC